AAACAAACAATAACATTGACAAAACACTGGCATCATTACAGGTTGAGAATTGTCCAACTTGTTGCGACGGAAATGCCAATGAGAAATATATTATAATATATTCCGTTCAACGTCAACTACAGATATATATTTGGTCTATGGCCTAATTATGGTTACCTTTCACTGTTATTTTACTTAGGATACTGTGTTGGCAGTTCTGTCGATAAAGCTGATGATATTATACCATGCATCACAACATCTATGGATGGAGGTGGGACAGTTGAGGTTTATGACGGATATATATTTATTGACGGTAAAATTTACAGTAACGTGAGTGATTTTAGAACTCCAAACGAAGATGGCACAATTCCAGGAAATAACAAATTGTTCTTGGAGCCTGGAAAGTAAGTGTTGTTTTGTATGGTAGCCTTGGTGGTATATTCATTTCAAATAACTATAAGCATTATCCGTCGTTATGCTTTACCTGTAGGCCTATGCGTCAATATTTGCGTAATGTTTACTGTGTAACACCCTAACAACAATATAAACTAGAGCAGTCTCTCCATAGAATTCATACCTTTTGCCTGGATACCGAACAATACGCAGGCAATGTATGATGGGCCATTCCATTATTTACGTTTATGCTCGGTGTACAAATCGAATTTCTATGACCTTGAATATGTCCTTTGACATTTTCTTTTCAAAATTGTAATCATGTCTTCCTTCGAATAAAAATCTACAATTCCACTAAATTTTATGATCCATTCAATTATAGTTTTGCGTAATATTGTTAACAAACAATGTGGTGGAAATAATATATAACTAAAAATACATAACTAGACTTACTATGTATGTTTGCAAACAAAACCTAGGACTTCTCTTCACTGACATAATATGAAGTAGTTTTGAAATTATAAAACAAAAACAAAAACATAAAAAAACTTATGAAATACGAACTCTAACTAAGGCTCAAACTAGAGGTGCAATTGTACACGAATAGCCGGTTTCTCAAATTTCCTTTGCACATTAAATGTATGTGATAAAAAAAATAGGCTTATTTATATGAAAACATTTATATGTATATGAAATATATATTATATAACACATACATAATACCAGTGTATTATTTTATCGTCGTTGATTATTGTTATGTGGTGTCTAATTTGATCTACAGATGCGTATTTACAACTCTTTCAATCTGTAATGAAGCACATGTATGTGTAAATAGGACACTTAATTCAACAAATATTTTAGGTAAGATAAAAATTGTTTGTATTAATGTTTGTTTTTTATATCAATCATATAAGTAAGAATAGTTGAAAGCAAATCTATTATATAGATTTTTATTTATTATTATTATTTTCTCTTTTTTTTAATAATTCATATATAAATTAGGTTATGAGGATATAATTATTTCATCTGATGATGGAAAGGATTTTTCGCTTTCGTGGGGAGAAGACGAAAATATGTTTGCGGTAAAACCTGAGGCTATAGAATCCTCGGAAAATGACAAGTTTAGCCTTAAAATATCATCAGTTGGAGGTACGCTAATCTTTATTTTTTAAATCGATAAAGATTTGGAATGTTAATTTCATTACTGTTATTATTGCTACTGCTGCTGTTGATACTAGTACTACTACTACTACAACACACTACTACTACACACTACTACTACTGTACTAATACTACTACTTACTACTTATATTACTGGTAGCAGTATGTAATGAAAATGGTAATGCTAGTGATGATGACGACGACGACGATGATGATGATGATGATGATTGTGATATCGATATTTGATTTAATCTATTGAAAATACTACCTAATACCGAAAATGTAATACATTATAAGTGTACAACGTTTTTGCAAATTTGTTTTGCTTCACTCTTACAAAATTAGACAAAGTAATACTTTCTGTAGTGCAAAGATCGAATATGAACGCCATTATAGTTTGTAATACACAAAGATGCAGCAATTTATCAGTGGTTATTATATTTAATTATATTTCATTACACATAGACTGCTAACAAAATACAACATTAATTTGAAAATTAGAAGAAATTGTTTTCTTAATAATACACTGTATTTAAAGGTTTGGAACCTGGGTATTCAATGTCGTTTGGAGTTTTATCAAGCGAAGACTTAAACAAAGAATATACTTCCGAAGCAACAGCAGATTACGTTCCATATATTGTCAACCCACTGTATACTTTAGACAGGACACAGCGTCATCTACGACGAAGGTTTGTCATGTTACTCATTATTAGCCTTACGTTGTTAAAAAGTAGGCCTTCAATACTGTATAAGCTAAATCAGCTTTAAAAACACAATTTTGTACCTAATTATCAACATACGATAAGAATGCAACTTAACATTTTCTCAGTTGTGAAAAAACTACACTACTAAATATATTATTTCTTTTTGCAGAGTCAAGGCTGTTTATGAACCCAGCTTCTATCTCTCACCACTAGGTCAGGCTGACATGAATGGACCATTACAAATTAAGCTGAAATTTAAGACATCTTCAGATTGGAAATATGAATCTCCTTATTTGATCTATTGGAACAAAGGTTAGTAAAATTTAACGGTACGCTGAATGCAACATAGATTGGCATAAAGTATGGAGGTATGCTATACTTATAAAATAAGTAAAAGTAAGATTTATATTAAGCCTGGTATCTTTGGTTTAACTTTCCAACATAATTATGTTTGTATTGATCATTTTATATTGAGTGTGTGTATTTTTGTTTATTATTTAATTTGAATAAAATAAACAAGAAATAACATTGATACCATTTTCATAACTTAGACGAAGGTCAATGGGATGATGCAGGGCTCACCTGTTCTGACGAAATTTCGCAATTCGACGAGGAAACAGAAGAACTATCAGTTATGGTAGTGTACACTTTTTGAACAATCAAAACCGTATCAATGGCGTTGATTTGAATTACTTATAAATTATTAATCCTTATCACGCTTTAATCAAAACTAAACGTAAAGCCAGACCGAAGAAATTCTGATTATTATAATTTGCTTGAAATTTTGAAAGGTCTGTTCTACCCATGCGTCTTCAACTGAAGAAAGTATTAGAAGACGGAGAGAGGCAGATTCTGGCGGTTTCCAAAGTTATTTTAGTAAAGAAACATTATTCACTATTGCCCTTCTTGACAAGGATGTAAAAAACGAACCACCAATAATATTGATGGAAGATGTTTTAAGAATGCAAGAGGATGAAGGTAACGAAATAACTGATTAACTTGATAATTTTACCTATTTTAGATATAACTATCAATTTTGGATTTTAAAACTTGTTGAACGTATGGATGCTAAAAATGTAGATATCTAATCATTCTTTTTTATTTGTTGTTTCTCGGTAGAAATTTCAAATATCTAAAATTGCTTCTCTAACAATAAGACTATAGTCAATATTTAAAAAATACTGGTTTTTTTTTTTTTTTTTTTTTTTTTTTTGTTTTTGCCCAAGTCTTATTCTTTTTTTTTTTGTTTTTGCCCAAGTCTTATTCTTTTTAGGTAATCCTTATTAATTTGTCAAAATTTCAGTATGTGTTTTAAGACATTTTTCTGATTTTTTTTTTGTGATAACGTCTGCTCCCTTGGAGGATAATTGTTTGTTTTTTTTTACTTTTTCTACTTTCTGAATTTGTTTAACAATAGGCTACATGTATAAACTAAATATATATTTACACCCTTTTTTATTTTATTTTTCTCAACAACAATTATTCCTTACAGGAATTATTGAATATCAAATATACGCTGCTGACTCAGATGATGATCCAGTTGTGTTCCAGCTGGACCAACATTATCCAGTTACAGAGCTTGGTGAAATTGTGAAAATAAGTTCAGATGGTGGTTTTACTTTTAAACCTTGTCTTGATTGTTACGGAAATGCTATCATATATATAAAGGGTATGGTTATTAAAATCAGGGGTTTTATTTGTCTCAAGTGGTTGTTATAATCAAATAATATTAAATATTAAATGTAATAATGATATAATAAATAAAATTATCACCAAATTTCATTGGTTTTGCAAACAGTCATTAACCCCAATTTTCAAGCAGTAAATATGCTGCAGAAAATATGTCGAAAAATATTGGTTAAACTCGCTTGATATAGTTTATGTTTTTTTTTTTTTGTTTTTTTTTAATAATAAATTGTAGCTGTTGAAACTCCTGAAAGTCCGTATGTGGAGCCACTTACGTCTACAAAAGCATTTGAAGTGGATATATCCTCTAGACAAGATCCACCTGTGGTCTATTTTTGTACAAAGAAAACATCTAACAAACCTGCTGTGGATGACAGATTCTATCAGGTTACTAAGAAATGTTTAGATCAATGTAACCACCGCCAGCACGAACAACACCCCTTAATATCACTAACAACTACTACTACTAATTACTACCACTACTGCTGCTGCTGCTGCTGCTACTACTACTACTACTACTACTACTACAACTACTACCACAACCACAAGTACTACTACTACTGCTACTGCTACTGCTATTATCAATAATACTACTAATAAACAGTTACTGGGCCTACTATTATATACAAATCAACATCTAACTTTTCTTTTGCCTTATATAGGTAACAATGGAAGAAAATACAGACACTAACATAGCTTATCAGGATTTTATTGGGTATGCCGGTGCGTATGACGTAGATGTTGATGACTTATTAAACTTAATGTTTCAAACTCCCACCCAAGGGCAATTTAATGTAAAACTACCAGAAAGAGGAAACCCTTCGACATCTGAGGATCTAGAAAAATGCAACATCCGGTATCCACATCCAAAGGTAAAACAATAATGATATTAAATACGTATTAGTTAAAAAATGTGTATTAATTAAGTATAGTTATAATAGTATTATAATAAGGAAAACATATATTAATTTTATATTCAGTTAATGCCATTTATCTCCACTGTAAAGCTTCCGTTCTATATCATTAAAACAGGATGCAATGTCTTGGGTATGGACAGAGATTACATACAGGCCTAATAAAGGTTTTTATGGTTCGGACTACCTTTCCGTATTTGCACGTGACCAAGCCGGGTTGTATTCAAAAATTCTTGAAATAGACGTCGCAGTAATGAAGAATCCCTGTGCAATACACGGCACATGTCGTGGTAGGTACATGACACTAATACAATAATAATAACTACCATTAGCCTGTATATTACTGTTAGGCCTACTATAATAAACATAAAGGTTTTTCTCCAATTAAAGACAACTTTTGTTCAGTGGCGTTGCAGAACAGGCCATTGTAAGATTGATTGCCGGGCCTTTTGAAGTGCGTCTTATCTTTTTACCCTTACCGCCTTTTTTTCCTTTTTTTTTTCGTTATTCTGTAGATTAGGGAACCAGTTCAGTAGGAAATTTACTGTTACTCCAAACTGGGCCCAGTACAAACAATGAAACAAAGATACTCACATTCAAAAAACAAGTACCTGAAAAGAAACCAGATAAAATACAGTAAAATCTCTATCATAGAAATTTCCTAATGACCTAGGCTGATAATAAATATTAATGATAATTGGAACCTCCGTAACTATTTCAAGAGTGGCATATGCGGTCGCAGCAGGTAGTTGTAAACTATTATCCCTATCCTTACTGGCCTATGCTAGTAATAAATATATATATACGATATACGATGAATACTATTGCAACTTTTATCATACTAAAAATACAATTCAATTTGAAGTTTAGTGAAAGGAAACATGCAGTAAAATAAAACATTGACAACATTACAATAAAAAGAATAAACATAAGAAAGGGTTGGATTGCAACCATAGAAATAAAACACTTTTGCAAAACTTAAATTTTAATTTTATAAATGCACATTTTAAATTTTCTGATTATTATAATTATTAAATTTTATTTTGTTTTAGTTATTTATGTACAAAAATTCAAAATTATAGATATGAAAATAAGTAATAATGATAATCGGACTTCGTAGCTATTTCAAAAGGGGTTTATGCGGTCTCAGCTGGCAGCTACTTGTAAACTTATCAATAAAGCTAGTGGCTCGTATAATGGTAATGGTAATGGTTTGAGATTTATATAGTGCATAATACATGGTCTCTATGCGCTGTACAGAAAAATAATTAAAAAAACAAAATCTATTTTAGTATGTCATCTAAGCTAACCAAGCTAAAATAAACAACCGAAACAGACTAACGCAGAAGGATCGCACCGTTTACCTGCAATTTGAGACTACCGACAAGCAGTGGTTAGCAGGTACATGACTCACAGGTGCTCCAATAGTGTTGGCATCTGGTCTAGCCTTTCCTAACAACAAAAGTGAAAAATAACAGAAAACAGAGACATATTGAAAAGAAAGGAAAATGTGTGATTTAAGGCTCTGCTGAAAAAAAAAACAGAGAGCGACGAAGACTCCGGAATGTAGATGGGAAGTTCATTCAAGATAAAAAAAAAATCATTTCAATTACACAATTGAAATGTCATAGGAGTGATGTTTGCCCTACCTGACGTGATCGTAACGAATACTTTCCAAGTACCTGCGAAAAAAAATCGCATGTGATTCGGATTTTTCGGATTTGAATCGGACCCACGACCTCCAGATCCTGGCGCCATAACCACTAGACTACCGAGGTTGCGTAATTAGTGTTGAATTCGATCCCCAAGTAGCAGCGGGTACCGAAAATGCTATATCGATGTGAGTTTTTGTCAGCAAAATATCATAGGAGAGTTATTTTTCCCTACTTGCCGTGTTTCCACACCGAATACACCGAAATACTTTCCCAAATACTTCGAAACAAATTCGCAAGTGATTCGGGTATAGGAATCGTATCCACGACCTCCAATTAACGTATGGCGCCAGGCTATTATATTATTTAAGAATATTGTTAAAATATAAATTATTATCATCATCATTATCATCATCGATAAAAATTTCATAGTCTTGAATAACAACACAACAGTTCTTAGTTTCATTATAGGGGAAACCTATATTTGTTTATGACCATAACGGTCCCAAGACACGTTTCAACAATGTGTTACTACATCATCAGCTGCCAAGGCAATCTCTCTTATACTAAGACGTCCATGCTTAGCATGCCACGAAATTGGGCGTAACTAATAAACAAAACACAGTATGACTAAAAGATGAATAATCAGAATATATGTATCATCATCATCTTCATCATCACCACCACCACCACCACCACCATCATCATCATCAAATTGAATAAATAAAATTTTAAAAATAAAAATTTCCGATTCGCGCGAATAAATTCCCTAGTGGCAAACGACCTTAAGGGGGCTTAAACAAAGCCTAACCAAAGCTTAACCAATAAAGTATCCTGCTTATGAGTATTTTAGTTATTAAGCCTCAATATACCTTTTTTATATATATATATAAATTCAGGCGTGCTGAATGACACAAACTGTGAAGACCCTAGACGTCAAAACGGTTTCGAAGGATACAGTTGCTCATGTACTACCGGATGGGAGGGAGAATTTTGTGAACTTGATCAAGACGAATGTGACCTAGATACACCGTGTGCAAGCCCATACATTTGCATAAACAAACCAGGTGGCTATCAATGCGAATGTCCATCTGGAATACCAAACTGCGATATGAAAGTGTAAGGAATAAACAATAATCATTCCTATACTTAATTAAGTGTATGTTTGAATTCACTCTACATCGTATCCTGATTTATTTATCAATAAATCATCTTTCGAAGATCCCGCCTTGTCGTTAAATGCTTAAAAATAAGGCGTATCATAATGATCTCTATAGTGCTGTTCAACTGCGCATGCACAAGAGTTGAAGGTTAGTTGCTTTAATAGGATTTGAATTCCCAACAGAGCTTCAAAGGCCCAGTTGGTTAAAGCGTCTGCATACACAGCAAAGGGTTCGAATCCCGTTATTGGAAACTTTTTTTAACGTACAAAAATTATATCAATATGGTATTGCAAGACGGTTTAAAGTTTATCTCTACATTATATCCTGATTATTTTTTATCCTGATGTATGTGTTGCGATTATAAAATCTTGTTTCTATTAGAACAATATTATTATTATTAGTATTTATCTATTCCTTTATATATTGTGTTTATGGTACTACTCAACACACCTAATTTGATTATTATTTACTATAATTTCCAAGCTACGACCTGTAAGTTTCAAGCTTAACCATAGTGTTGTGACCGTTTGAGTCAGTTGTGAGAGCAAGTGCCTGGGGACGATCTGCGTATACCCTAGGTATCTTTGGTCTAATTGGTATGATATTCGCCTTAATAACGAGAGAAACTTTTTTTTCATACAACTGGATAAAGGAACTTTTCTTTGAAGGGCTATGCTTGATAGATTATAACATCTTGTTTCTATTTGAGCACTGCTATTATTTATTCATCTATTTGTTTATATATCCCCATTAATAGGACACCTTCAGGGCTAAAAGAGTATAATAGTATCCATATTTAGGGGACACTAAGCAAAAACGTGAAATGGTCACCTCAATTGGTTGGTTTTACCATGTACAGCAATGACATACCTTCTTCACATATTTTTTTTTTAATTGACCTAAGAACGATTAACAATATAGAAAAAAACAAATTGTAACAATAATTTGCAATGTAAATACTATACATTTTAGCATGAATTCAAAATACATGTAATTAAAGCAAAAGTTGTATATAGTTCCATGATTCAAGTGCTATGACAGATTCCGCAGAACGAATAGAGAAATGACTTAGAAATCAGGGTGCAGTACGGTATGAATTTGAAATCATGTGACAGTACACAGAAAAAGTATATCCCATGATTTAGGGTAAACAAATACAATATTAGTTTATACAAAGTAACACGTACATTGGGCCGATAGACTTTCGATATCCATTTTAAAGAACAAGAACGAATGTGAAAGTTATCTCTCAAACAGAATATTGTCAAAATATAGATTTGATTGAAACATTGTTATTTTTTATCTATTGTAGTTGTAGTGAATAATGTAATACAAACAAAATAGTGATACGATAAGGTTTAAACATGTAATGATTTTAACATTTAGCACACTCAGAAATTGAATGTGGTCTGCCATTCCCCAGTGGCTAAAGCCGACTTTCTAATGAATAGGGTACGGTAAAAAGATCAATAAGGGATGTAAAGCTCAGTTAAAGTAGGTAGACCTGTACATACCACAATACCATTTATGCATAGTTATGAAATCAATTCAATTAGGCCTATTGTATAATATGCTTCTAAGCACATGTGTAAACAACTATGCAAATACATTCATATCAATCAATTATCAATTTAATTCAGGTGGGTGATATGTTTAATCAGCATATTGAGCGGCGTTGCTTTCTTTGGAGGCTGTGTAGCTATTGCCTGTTGGTGGAAAAAAAAGAACAAGTAAGATTAAAAATCCATATTTTTATTTTTATCTTAATATTAGTCTTATCATAATAGTAAAATATCATTTCATTTTTTTCATTAAGTGGGCCTATAAGACGTAATCCAGTTTCAACTAAACACAATTAACCTTAAGCTAGGTTTCCATACAATCGCTACACGCTATCGCCACAGCTTTCGGGGTGATGTTGATTTTTCGGTCGAATCGAGGAGCCTTCTTGCGTCGGGGACTGCTATGCAGTACAACGATTGCAAAGAAAACACTCTACAGACAGTGTAGCAATTTTATGAAAACCGAGCTTAAATTAATACTAAAATCCTTTAGTTCCTGTTATTTACACACTGCGAACATTTAAACATAAACCCCCAACTAATCAAAATGTGTGAATTGAATGTAGACCAATTTCAGTCGTGCATAAGTTCACCGATTCTTTATTAATTAAACCTATTGTTAGTAGTGTTGTATTTTAGTTTATTATCAGCTTTGTATTCTGGTATTATATCTTCTTACAGAGATACATTTTAACTTACTTTTCTTATAGTAAAATATTCGTGGAGGAAAATGTAGGTGACGTAAACACACAACCACAAGATATATCAAAGTAAGTATAATATTTCTATAATAACTCTTAACAGTTTATTATTATATTTTTAATTATTAATTATAGATGTATTTTAAATTATAGGGTGTTATTTTTAAAGTATTAAGAGGTATACATTTTACTTTCAATTATTTGTTTTTATATTTTTCACACAACTACGTATTTTTTTAAATGCACATTTAAAAGTTATTTTCATATTGATAACTTATATTTTGGTAACAAAATAGAAGATTTACATTATGTATTCAATACAGTCATGTTGAAATGGATACATTCGTTGCCGACACTATTGAAGACATAAAACAACTTGAAAGTTCTCTTCAAAATGCTGCTGTAACTATTCCTGATGCAGTGATGACAGTCGCAGGAATTGACTCGGTGTCTGATGAACCGATAAACCAACTTAACTTGAGTAACTCATTCAGTAGCCTTCATTCAGAAAACGAGTTATTTTCGCCTGAAGCAAACCAACAGGAGCCTACAACATCTAAGACCCTTTCCAGAAACCAAGTTTCCCCAATCTTAACGGGTATTGCTGGCGATGGTGCGAATGGACGTGATTGTCTCCAGAATGCATCTGATGCAGAAGGCATTCCACTGGCAGAAATTGCTAAGCCTATAAAGATTAATACTTGGATTGCATAGAGTCTTTTGATATATTGTAGTACTTTAATTCTGCCTTGTATAATGTTGCTGTGTGTGTAAACCAAATATAAAATTATGTAATGTTTAAGCACAGACCCTATATATTATGTATATAGGGTCTGTGGTTTAAGTTAAACCACCATTATCGATTCCGACATCTAGTAATTATTATAACTACATTCTTTCGAAGTACTATATAGACATAATATTTTGATTTTCATTTTCCTGTTCTTAATGACTATAATTCCAATAATTGTGTTTATCTCAAAATACTTAACATTTCATTTTCAATATTCATTTTCATTTTGTATATGCCTTTCAAAATTTTTTTCATGATTATGTAGACTGATTTAAACCTTATATATACAGTGTTAGAAGAATATGAAAAAAAAAATTGATTTCTGCTTCCGCTGTGCGGTGCAGCTCTGTTTTCAGAGAATCCAATAATTACATTTTTTAACAATTTAATTAAATATATCAATGACAACTGGCATTATTATTAAGTAGTGTTTTAACTTTTTTTCAAATAATTCCAAATAATATCAATGTTATTAAGATTTAATTTGTATGCGTACATGTTTATACATAGTCTAATTAAACTCTCATTCTTCATAGGCCATACACATTTGTCTTATACACAACTAGATGTGTATAAGAGACAGTATTTACAGCTCCTCGATAAAGCAAACCTTGTTTTATTTTTTTGAAGTCGGTGTGTGGTAGAGAAATTAATTAATTGTTTTTGCTATGTCCAAAATTATAAACAAATTATGTAAATAAAGTATTTAAATATGGTTGAATATGACCTTTAATTACTGTATTAATTAGCACACCACATTCAAACATATCTTGGTCTGAAAGGACACTAATTTGTCTTTTTATTTATATACTTATTATTGCATCCAACAGAAATAAAATTCGCCACATACTGGTGGGAACGACAAACGGATATAAATATTTTCAAAGTGTAGGATATCATTGTTTGGTGTGGGCCAAGTCACATTTCGATCGGGCAGTTCTAATTTGAATAGTAGCGTCACCCATATAACGCTTACCATTTTGGTTAGTCTGTATCCTTTTTACGAAATTTGATTACAGTTTCGCCAGATTACATTAGGCCTACAGTAGCTTAAGTGAGGATTACAGTAGCTTAAATGCAAGGATCTGTTCATAAAATCAGGTAATAAATTATCCCCCGGACACCATGCCGGTATATGTAAATCAAGGTCTCGGGGTTTGAAAATTAAGATTGTAATGGCATAAATTACTATACGAGATAGAAATATCTTCAGCAGGACACAATCCTTAAATTTCTGAACAGTGGTGGTGCTACGGGTGGTAGGGATTTTTCTCCAGATAGTCCTTGTTCTCCTCCCCCAGTTCTCCTCCCCACGTTCTCCTCCCCAAGTTCCCCCAATTATCAATCGCTTTGCCATAAGTACGCTATCAAACGATCAATACCAGTGAATTAATTTTCTCTTTTCTTATTATTAAGACATTGAAAGAGCTGGACACGCGTAAGCCTTTAGGATGCCGCTCGTAACATACATGCTAGAGTCAAGTGACAATTGCAGATGGAGACCCCTACTTCCCCCTCCCCAAAATTTACCTTACCCCTCGCTTTCCCCCTCACTTCTCCGTCCAGGTGGGGGTTTATTCAAATGTACCCAGGTATTAAAAATATTAGCTACAATTTACAATTAAAGCCAAATATTTAAACCTTAAAAATATAATAATAAATTATATACAGTAAGAATATAAGAAGACATTAAATTAATATTTATCAATTTTACCGTAGGCCTACAGTTGATTAAGCATTAAAAAAAAACATAGGCCCTAACACCAGTCTTCATCCGTCCCTCAAGTTGGCTGCGGTAGAACAGTACCAATAAGTACTAAAAAATAATATTATACCTATAAATAATATTAATAATTATAATAATACTAAAATAATAATAATAGGCCTATTTGTCATTTGGGTAATGGGTAATCGCGATCGCTATTCATCTGGGTAATTCCGTATCATGTAGGTGGTTGTCTTCTGGACCGTGCTGGTTTTGGTCCGAGTCGTCGCCTGGGCCAAGTTGGGTCGTCTGGGCCTAGTTGGATTTGGTCCGAGTTGGTTTGGGGCCGAGTTGGTTTTGGGCCGAAGAGTAGTCTGGGGCCGAGTTGGTTTTGGTCCGAGTTGGTTTGGGCCGAATAGGTTTGGGCCAATTTGGTTTTGGGCCGAAGTGACTTGCTACCCATCATCTCTGCTGAAAGGTAATATTTTTATTCGATTATTACACAGTACATAAGAGCCATATAAATAATTTCTTAGCCATTTAGTGTCACATTATTAGCAGTTTCTAAATCTCTGGTGTGATATTCGGGCTATGTTGACCGCTATAGGTAGGCCTATACAGTGGTGCATATGTGCCAGTGCCACCGAGAGGGGGTAGGGGAAAGATACCCGGGACCCAAGCTTACCAGGGGCCCATAGACATTGCAGGTAGTAACTTTTTTTAATATTTTGTTTCAAAAATAATACTATCATGGTCCCCTAATATATGGGCCCCTCCAAATTGACAAAATCCCCCCACCCCGTAATAAAAATGTGTGCGCCTTCGGTGCAATCTCTTTCGTGCTTTGCGCTCGTGACTGAGAGTCCACACCAACCCTTGCCCTGTCACAGCAGTTTGCCCTGTTACAGTTTGCCTTGTTACAGTTTCCCCTTTTGGCGGCCCTGACATGTGCACTAATCTTTACTGTATAATTGCTATCCGTATTTTTATTCAATTCGAAATAGTGGGGACCCAGAAAGGGTTTTACACTGGAGGGTCTACAACACCTCAGACCCCTTTCCCCATCGTGTTGGGCTGTGTGGTACGGATGGATAGCACCATCTTCTAGATGGCCACCGGAAATGGGGGCTATAAAACGAAGACCGACGTCCCAACGAATTAAGACCACTAATTCTTCTCTATTATTCTGATGATAATACACCTGGCTGTAAGAAAAAAAAAATTACGAATTTTTTTGGGTGTCTGTTTGTGAAATTTTCAAGGGTCTTCGTTTTATAGACACCCGGCTATATGGGTGTCTACAATTTAACAAAGACCGAAGACTTGAAAAAAGAAGACTTTCAATTATTTCTCAATATCGTAAGTATTTCAAAATCATCATAACAAGTAGGCCCTAAGCCTACATTATTTCATTATTTCATCGGAATAAAATTAGGAATATCAAGAAATACTTAAGGGTCTTCATTTTATAGACACCCCCAGAAATGAAATGGCCCCCAAGACTGGACTCCGCCTGCGATTTTTTTTCCCGTACGAAACATTTGCATGAAACTTCACTCGGGCCATCTCGATTGACTCGAGTGAGTACGATACAAGGAACAAGAGCAGACACTTCGCAATGTCGTGACGAGTTTTACTATTATTGCTCTTTCTATGTTTACCTACGGTAGGCCTATGACATTTCACTGACTTATGTGATGTACGTCCCTGTGTAACTGTGACCAGCTTCTTGGATGTTATTAAATGTTAGTATATTATCTACAACAACAACTCAGCTAGTACCTCCTGTTATAAAGTGTAGATAGGTACAGTTATACCAAAGGCTAGAGAGAAAGGGATAAACTATAGGCCTAACTACAGGCTGAGGTCTTACCTAGGCCCCTCCTTAAACTAGGCCTAGGGTCATAGGCTGACACAACAGTCACG